TTTGTCTATGCCAAGCTGATTTAGCATACCAAAGACATCGAGTTCTTTGATGGTCGCGCTGTCCAGTGTGTGAGGGGGAATTTGTGTGGACTTACGGAAAGGGTGTTTCTATAGTATGCACATGGATAAAGTAGTGTGAGAATGATCGGGCTTCACCAAAGTCGTCATCCACTAATGATGAAGCAGTTTGGTCTCCACATAGTGCTGGAATATTTCCTTATCTCTCTGTCCTTTGGTTTACATACGAACACAAGCATTTAGGACATTCCATGGATTCCTTGGCAATTTTCTCCTTGCACAACCTTTTGAACTTACGGAGGGTCAAGACACAGGTAATCTGAGCTTTTCGATACTGATGTTGTCCCACCAGTCCCCAGTAACCTAAATCTACCTCGTATTTTCCTTCTCTTAAGGAGAAGGATGAGAACCTCCCTTCTGAACCACTCTGGGGTGCAATAACTTTTAAATATAAATTTCGAAATACGTTCCATTCCGTTCCAATTGGGAACCCTGGCTCGATTGTCCAATCTACTAACGATGCTGAGTGCATGATATCTGGTATGCTTTCTTTCCGGATGTTAGGTCTGGATTGAGCTGACGCGTGCTCGTGTTCGACAATTGTATGAAAGTCAAATGTTAGAACTGTATGATCACTTTTACCTAGGGGTGGCATATAGTCGAGATTCTTAACGTCATTCCCATAGTGGGTCAATATAAGATCTAATAAGAATGATTCAGATTCCGTGTCGTACCTAGTCGCTTCTTTCATATGTTGCACTGAGGCACATGTGATAACCGCATCAACTAGTTCCTGGTCGAAAGAATTATGTGACAATTCAGTTGGCAGATTTTTCCAGTCTACCATGGGTGTGTGAAATTATGGTCTACTATGATATTAGTACTGCTCTAGGCTGTTTTATCAACTCAATGTCATGCTCAAAACGAGTTTTAGGTTCAGAGCTTTTACTCGCCGGGATTCTATGAAAAGTAACTGACATATCCCTGAGATCGGTTTTCAATTTCTCGACTACTCTTATATCGTTATATCGTTTCTTGCTTACGACCTGTACCCGTTCGTCAACTTTCGTTGGAGCAGCACCCACAGTCGCGTTAAATATACTGTGGGATTCCGAAGGGTAATCGATGACCTGGAACGTTAGGTTGTGTTTCCTGCTAGAAAAAGATCGAACCTTGTGAATGTGATTTCTAGACGGTTCCTGCCGGACACCATGTAGAAATTGAGGGACAGGAAACTTCCTTTCTTTAGGTTTTAATTAAGACAGACCTCTTTGAAGACGGACCTTCCTACTTTTATCTATGTGAGTTAGTTGTTTCCGAACTCATTCAAGGTGGCTTCACATCAATTGGTACGTCGAGTGAGTGCTACCGACCTGCTTGATAAAACACTTTATTGTAGCATGCATCATTGAAATGGCCTTGGTTAGTAAGGTTTTTGCGTGCTAACTGCAATACTGACAAAACCACACGCAACTGTTTGTACTAAACAATTTAAAAGCCACAAGCATCATATTCATGCAAAAGTCGTGGTACCAGTCTTTGCACCCATCGCACTTCCTGCCGCGTTCGACGGGATATCGATAACTCGGACGTTGGCAATTGCTTTTCTTGCACTGTCCTTTCATCGAACAGAGGTTTTCAAAAAGAAACTAGATACAATAGTACCCAGAGATAACAGTGATTTATGACCAAAAAAGTGGAAAACTTCAGATTGTTAGAACTAAAAGTACTAACAAATACAATAGAAATGAAAATACTCAAAAGTGTCAACGATAAACTATTTTAGAAACAAAAACGATACTCCTATCGGATACTTTAACTGGAACAAATTCAATCAAAGAATATACAATAGTCTCGATACGTAATCAACGTTCAGAACAGTATAATGTACTCAGCGAGAAAAAATACCAGTGTTCTATTAAATAGCACATGAGAGTGACGGTCCGTGCTGTTTATAATTTTATAAAATTCCTGTACTTTCATGAAAATGTGTGCTTTAAGTTTAAATAAAACTTGTTATGTGAGTTGTTTCAGTAGTTGATTATTTCATTTTAATTGGGAATCCAAAAATGACACATGACATCTTACATTTGTCACTACCAAGTGATATTTGATTTTTGAATCCTCGTCATCACGAAATATATTCTTCGTTGAAAATATTCATGTTTGCTTTAAAACCTGTTCAACAAATCATAACTACATTTCATGTAGATATCATCTATAATTTTACTTGTTATTTTATCTATGAATGAACCCGAAATGATTTCTTCTCAATCTTTATGTCTGAATAAAGTTTTTGTGAGTTATAATACGTTTTTTCATGCTATTACTAATGAAACAGCCACTTTACTCTATCAACTCACCTAAATGTGAGTATGCGATCTAACATTCAGATGTTTACCTATATATCGTTGTAGAATCCGAACTACGGTTTGGATGCTGAAGAATAGCCTGTCGAGTGGATTAGACACGCGCCCTTGCCCGTCAAAATGAAAACAAGTAATCGGGTAAATAGCGGTTCTATAATTCATCATAAATTTAAATGTAAATCGTTACCTAAACAAATATTATCACCCGGCTATTCAACCAATAATTGTTCAATCAATCAAATCTAAATTACAATAAATAAAGAAGTTGATAAAAGATGAGGGAAAATTACCAGTCACAACAAATGAACGTTATTCTATCCTGACTGGATTGAACACACAGAGAAGGAGGAGCAAATCGATTTGGCTGCCGCCAAGAACAAGTGTCAAGTAAAACAACATAGATGCAGTTCGGGAAGAAACACAAAACTTAGTGAAGGCGTAAGAAAAACAAAAATTATAATAGAAAATACAAATAATAACAATTTAAATGTAATCAAAAGACAACAATGTACAACTAAGGGGATCAGTAGGAACAAAGTGCAAGTATATACATGGACGGATTTTCACAAACACACAAAACATTCAAAAATGGATCTTACAATCGTTACCCCTTTATTATTAGAAGAGTATTATGTTGTATAAACACAAGTAAAAGTCTCCGGGATTGAAAAGTTCGTAGCTTTTTAACTGGAGGTCGCATTTTCTAAACAGGACATTAAATTTTAATAAGCGAGTTGATTCGGGGAGCTTGCTACTTAGTTTCCTGATGTTAAAGATTAGGGAGATCTGCTATGATATTCATGATAGAAATGTTGTTGAGCACTACAATTTCAAAAACACACTCTGTTGTTTTCTATAGTATGACATTTAAACGATTTTATCTTAGCTGGATATCTCATTAAAGAAACCTTGATCGCTTGTCGCTGAACCATAAGAATGTTATGCAATATATTCAGCTTCCCGGACATCAGATTGTGTTTAATTTTCCATCCTTCTTTGTCGAAATTCAAAGTTTTCTTTCTGATTTTTTAAAGGTATATACTAGTCACTTTCATACATAAAATACCATAACCTACGGAAGGTTGACCCAAACGAATTTAACCGAAATGGATTCTTAGCTACCAAGAAACGTTACATCATTTTTGCCCTCATACAAAACTGAATTTCCTAACTGATTGCCATACGATTTTTTATTTGTTCTTTGATCATCATTAATGAGCAAATAAATACGTCTGAGTTCTAACTTCGTGCTGACTATGAATTCTTATTGAGATATCAGTTTTAGTTAAAGCTGTTATTTTTATGAAAAATAGGTTTTCAGACATTAATTAGCAAAGATTAAGTCTAACAAGTGTATACCCTATTCTCAAAACGAACCAGAAAGGAAGTGAAATCGGATTATTAGATAGAGTCTAATAGTGAATAATATTATAGTACGACTAATAAAAAGGGTAATTTATTATTAGATCTGTGATACTTTCCGCTGAAAATGGTGAATAAAATTTTTCATTTCCTAAAAACTATTTCTGAAGTCTTTTGGTGAATGAAATGGAAAAGGCTGATCTCATGACTTTGACTTGGACGGCAGTGAAAAATTGTGCTAAATAAACGGTACGTTTACATATTACTAGATGACAAATATCAGCTTTTGGAGTACAAGAATGTGTTTGCGGTTGCATTAAGAATATGTAATGTTAAGTAATTGGAACACTGTTTGTGCCGACATTAACCAAGTTGTTATTTTCAACGTGGTTTATTACTATCAATCGCTTCTGGTTTATCTCATTATTAAGCACAACTTTATGATACTAAAATAAGATTTGATCTGATTCACTACAGATAAAATGAACCAAGTATCTGAATCATTGCAGTAATAAATGAATGTCAACAGATCATCTGACTGACGAAAAGTCTGAGGTAAATATTGTGGACTTTCAAGAGTTAATTTAAAATTTAGAGATCTCCCTGATGCGTCATAAAGATCTTTTACTATTGGAAAATTAACTATTTATCATTGGTTTTCACTCAAGTTAAATGGTAGCTTAAACAAATTTTTTTATTGCTGACCTTTCATGTGATTTGTAGTTATGATTATCCTCTATTATATGGGTGTAAAAATTTATAGTAACTAAGCACACATTACTATGTCAATTCTCTTCAACTATTTAAGTTAGTACTGAGCTAAATAATATTTAGAAGCAAAATTCATTTATAAATAATTCAAGTTCATAACAAGCTACCATCAATCAAGTATTCAGAATTCTCCTCCTATCATCTATATCAAAGTATATAAGACAGAACTTAAAGAAAATTTATTAATCTCACATCCTTATTATTTCACCAATAAGTAAAGATGATCAATATGAAGTGTTTTTGGAAAATACAATTAGTAAATAACTTTCAATTGCCTTCAATAAAAAGGAAGGTAAATAATTATAGACAGGTAAATTAATCAAGTGACCAATATATATATATATATATATATATATATATATATATATATATATATATATATATATATATATATATATATATATATATATATATATATATATATATATATATGTTTATATAAATCTTTATAATTTGAAAGTAATCAAAAATGCACAATCATTATAAAATAGTTGTAAGTTTATCAAGGGCATCACAAACAGTCTGATCCTAAAATATAAAGAACAATAAAAAAAAAACATTAAAGAGCTTTCTTCATCACGAGTTCATAGTTACAAATAAAGTACAACATGATGTTTTGAATAGTGAAGTTAATAATGAAAATCTTTGTGAAAATAAGAACAGAATAAAAATTTCTCTATGAAAATCAACATAACTCAAAAAACTATAATTAAATTATTAGAAACAAGTAAAAGTTTCTTAATCATATAGTTTGACCCTTACCATTACAGTAACTCTTTAAGCAGCCAATGAAACTAATTATTTATGGTATTATAATCATAAAACAACAATCAACACGTAAAACTTCACACCATTTTTCAAATGTTTTAGTTGAGCTATAAAATGGAACGTGTATGAATTCTGTTGTTGATACAGAAAGTTAGATTTTATTCTTATTTATAACTCATAAGAGTGATTATTTGAGATTCACTTCACGATCGACTGTAGTATGTAGTACTATTACTAGTGTTGTGATGAAAATCTAGTAAAAGCTAACTCCTAACCATAAGTAACGATTACTATCTTCGTTCATTTGTTCACTAGATATGAGTTGTTGGTTTATGCCTTTATTTGGAGGTTACCAGCCAATGCACTCAGACTAATGGAAATGAATTTATTAAGTTTAGCACAGCCTAAATGCTCCATAGTAAATTCTTTTTAATGGATGTTTACTGCCCGTAAGAATGGCAAATTTTAAAGCCATGAATGTGAAAGTTTGCTTCCCTAATTTACTCGATTTATGACTAACTAGTCAAAATGTATGAATAAACCTTAAATGATGTCCATATGTAAATCCTAGAAGATGATCCTCCCTGACCAAAACGTTTATACATTAATTTCTGACTCATTACAAATCCTCAGATGTCCATATTGCTGAACTAAAGAATTAGATTATAAGACATGATTACACTGATCAATGAAGTAATTTCCAGAAAATCTTTATCTTTCATCAAAGAAACATCACCCGGTTATTTAGAAGCTATTTACAAGTGTATGTATTATGTTTTGAACTATAATTACGTTATGAAGCATAGAAATACTGCCTCGATTTAAGAAATTAAACTCAGTTCATCTTAAATTTCTGGGGTCAAGTACAGAAACTAATGAACCACGGGGTCTTCTGAAGTTGCAGTCTCCTAATAAAGTAAACCAATCAAAACCTTCATTCGAAACCTCAACAAATGTGTATTTTAATTCCACACGTATTTAATTACTTAAATTACACCTTTTACTTTCATGGAGGAGTATTTACCCTCCACCAGGATCCTCTATCCAGCTCTGTATTGGGCCCTCCTTTCCAATTTATATTCATGATTTTGATGTCTACCTCCGAGTCCTAACGCAATGTTTTCCTTGGTCATCCTCGTTTCCTTTCGCCTTTAGAATTCCAGGTTAGGGCTGATGACCTACAGAACGTATATACTACACGTCTCCAGCAACTTTTTCCAATTTTCTCTTCAGCTGGAAGTTGGTTTGTTCTCTGCCATAGTAGTGATAGAAGAGAAAGATCATCTGCGAAGTACATGTCGTCTAGCTGAATCCAAAGCGTCCAATGTATTCCGTGCTTCCCGTCAGATGTGGAGACCTTCATAAACTAATTAACCACCAGAAGCAAGATAGAGGATGAGAGTAAGCAACAATGTCTGGCATCGATCTTCAGTTGGAATGCAATCGTCAGCTGTCCTTCATGAACAACTTTATAGTGCAGTTCATCGTATGAATTCCGTATGATGTTGACAACTTCCTCAGGTAGAACACAGTGTCGAAGAGGGCTCCATGAGATTTTTTATCCACGCTATCAAATGCTTTCTCATAATAAAGTTGGTGTACGCCGATGGACTCCACTCAAGTAATTCTCTCGATTCGGTCTGGACACGATGATATATACTACTTATATCTGTCTACATCAATAGCACACATCATACTACTACTGTAAATGTTTTTATAACAGATATTAGTAATATTGGTATGAGTTTGAAATTTCATATTCAAGATTTTAATTGATCAATCACTATTGAGATATGAGAATCCCTAGCAGACATGATCATTTATTCACTAGCTTTTTTTTAATTTAAGTTGGATAATGTCTAGTGGTGTAATTCAATAAGATTATTTCATTCTAGACGAAATAATTCTTTTAGCTAAATGATAAATCAAATAAAACCATTCAACTTTTAAGTTTAAATATATAACATCAAGTAGGATAAATTAATGATAATATTTTCATTAATTCATTCTAATTCTTGATCATTATTGTTAAAGCTATTATCTTCTCTCTAATTTAAAACTTTCTAGTTCATTGTAAAAAAACTAGACAAGTATGAGTACAATAGAGTGTTGCTGTGATAACTCGTAACTAATTATTTTTTTTCACTTTTCAAATGTAAACAACCTTTATAAATCAGAAGGAGTTTTGTGGAGATTTTAGTCATTTCAATAGTTGAAATCATGAGTCAGTTGAAGCTAGACCACCATGGAAAATCCCGAAGTTAAACATTAACACCGTTGGATGCCGGCCGGCTCAGTGGTTTAGAGGATAAGCACTCGCACGTGAGACCGATAGGTCCTGGGTTTGAATCTCGCGGGGAGCGGGATCGTCGGTGCGCACTGCTGAGGAGTCTCATGCTAGGACGAAACGGCTGTCCAGTGCTTCCTGGTTTCTCATGGTGGTCTAACTTCAATTGACTCATGATTTCAACTATTGAAACCTTCATAAATCTTTGATATTATCAATTAATTATCATTTATTTTTCTAATGAAAATAAGTTCATAGAAAATTAATTATAGACTAATATAAACTTACATAAGTACACGCCTGTAAAAATTCTTCATAACTTATTACACCATCTTGATTTAAATCTAATCTCTATTAAAAGATTAAATAAAGGAAATCATTAATTGTTTTTTTTCATGGATATTTCTCTCAGTTGTAGATGATCGTGTTTTATATTCAAATATTTGAGAACAATAACTGAAGATAGTTGATCATAAATAACTTAGTCTTTCATCAAAAATGTGAACTGATTCAATTTGATACATACTTTGTTAACAAAATGTAAAGGAAATTTACAAAATGAATAGTAAAGGAGGTAAAATAATTAGTTTAGTGATAGTTAAACTAACTACAGAGAATCTAGTTTGGGGTATGTAATGCCTATATATATATATATAAAGTACTTCTTTCCAACAGGTAACTTGAAATTAAATAACCTATAACCGATTGTTTTTCAAATGTTTGGAACATATGCTGAATCAGGACCACTTAAACAATTTACATGTGTCAACAGTGAGAATTTGTCAAATATTGTCTAAGGCAAAATAAGATCACTCGTTATGATCTAAGAGATCTCTAATGTATAATTCATGGTTATGTGAAATGTTTAATATCTGAAGTTTTTCAACAAACTTCATTGAAACATGTTTGAAGATTATCTTTCAGTGTCATTCCATGTACCGATCATATACATAAGCAAACTTGAACTAGTATGGGAGTTTTTAGGTATTATAAAACAAAATAACATAACATTATTATCCATATAATATTTAGCTCTTAGTAATATTGATCACGAAATAAACCACATTCAAACAGTGAGTCCCATTTACATATAGTTCACTTAACTTATTCAGCTGTTTAACCTTATCCATTGGTTTTTGAACACTATAGTTTATAACAATGAAAGAATTTTCCAGTTGAACAGTGAGAATTTAATTCCAGACTTACATAAAATAGTGAAGATCAATGCTTTCTGATAATCATTTCAAACTCTATATGTAGGCATCAGTATTTTATAATGAATATTGTACTTTATCTATCGATAAATAGTACGTTATATTTAGCAAGGGTGTCGGAGTTCATTTAACTTTTTATCATATAGTTATATTTTTTTCATGCCTTAATGTAGTTACACATTTGTTTAATGTAAATATGATCAAGCATACATCGGTGAAACCATTGTTTACGCATCTCGCCAAAGAATATTCCTGAAAAAAAAGTTTTTCTCCACTACTGAATTGTTTACAAATTACAGTACATTTGAAAACACAGTAATTAATCATTTCAGAAACTAGTTACCTCATGAAAATTTACGTTTCTAAGTGTTATATTTATTTCCATTTCTAATCAAAAACTTGTTTGAATTGAAATACTTGCCAAAATGTTATGGAATAATAACTCTTTATCATTACTATATGATACTGAGTATACTTACTATTTCTTATTTTAATCTAATTTTTTCAATTGTAGCATTTTGCAATATACTATTTAAACAAACAGTATTTTAAGATACATGAAACTTCACAGGTTGAAATCATGAGTCAGTTGAAGCTAGACCACCATTGAAAACCTGGAAGCACTGGACGGCCGTTTCGTCCTGGTATGGGACTCCTCAGCAGTGCGCATCCACGATCCCGCACCACGCGGAGCTCGAACCCAGAACCTACTGGCTTCGCGCGCGAGCACTTAAACACTAGACCACTGAGCCGGCATCCAACGGTGTTAATGTCTAACTTCAACCAATCCACAAAGTTGCGCCACCGTACACGATTGTCTTCAGTGAGTTGTTATCTCACAACAGACCGGTTGAACTCCACTGGTAACGGCTTCTCACATGAAACTATTTTATTTTTGTGTTTCGCAACCGGTAATGTTTCAATCCTGTAACGAATCATCCATCTCTATGATAATAAGGTTTCAATGCTTAGCTCATTATTTTAGCTATCATGGTATCTCCTTAAAAAGTTGAAACGAATTATTAAATTAATGTCGTTAAATCATGTGACATTATTTGTTCACTAAATACTTTAATATTAACTCTCTTTATGAAATCCTTTTATTGTATTATATGCATATTTTTGATTTCGATGCTAACAATCTTTGAACAATAAAATATTCTGGTAAGAGTAAAGCTTTCATCAAACTAATAGTCGACTCTAAAACAGAAATGTTCGTAATTTAGCTTAACTATAAAAAAAGTGAAATTCACTTGGTATTGTTTGCTTGTATCATCCCATTGTTGTTAAGGACTGAAATCGATCAGTCTGTTGTTTGAATATGTGCATCCTGTGCGGATTGCCTTGATATTGCCTTGAGTCACAAGCTTTATAAGTAAAGATGGATGGTACCTAATATTGGAATTTTGGACGCACGTTTCGTGCTATTTGAGACTCGTCAGCTGGATGTACCTGCATCTCAGAGTAAACCTCAACTCTAAGATGCAAGTACATTCAGCTGACGAGTCCAAAATATAACGAAACGCGCATACTGGATTCCTTTGCTAGCCACCATTCATCTTTGCTTATATAAAAAGTGAACTTTAAAATTTTCTCTAAAGAAATTGAATTTTTTATTTGTATAGTGTACAAATATCTCATTGATTGGTGATATAAAATGTGTACAATTTATAATTTAGTTCACTGGTAGTTAATCACTACAAGATTTATAATGAAAAGTTTTGATACTTTTTCATAGAAAACTTGGAATTCCAATGATCAGAAGTGGACATGTAATTCTTAATTAGTCTTTTTGAAAGTAGATTCTTCAACTTTATATTAAGTTAGTTTTATGCGAAAAGCATAGTGATACTTTAGTTGCCTTCATAGTTTGCATTGATTCAAAATTAGGAATTCGTTAAGTCACGTTATCTGTAGTCATAAAACAATTTTAAAAAACGGAGTCAAGTATTATGCACATCAATGAAGTTTTTTGAACATATAAGCAGGATCAGTAAATATCACATTTCTTATCGTTATTTAATCTCTTAACAATCGGGAACTTAATTTCTTACTTGTCGGTTAACAGCACCTTGATGTGTTTTGTCGTGGAGACTTCAGCTATATTAGTTCCTAGTTAGTTATAAATATCTGTTACCATGTAACATAAACCTGTCACGTGAAGGCTAAAGTTGACAAATTATTATTGCCTAATGGCTGTTTATTAAACTGGTTTATCTTGTTCTTCAGTCAATAACGATACGGACAGTGATAGATAGTGCAACAACAAGAAGAACCTCATAAAGTTTACACTCACTTATCGATAGGACTGATACGATGAGCAAGAATTAGGTCTGAAAGTCAAACCTTAATTGGCTGGAGAGTAAGTGACTTACATGATAATTTTCTCCAACTTTCTATAGTTTTTGACTGTTTTTTTCATTTCAGCATTTTGTTTGTGTGCTTATCATTCTATTGCATGGAAAACTTATTCTTCTAGGTTGTGATCTTATTTTAATTTCAAAACATTCGGGATCATGATTCAATACTTCAGTCTTGTTAACACACATTCCTCGATCAGTGACAATCATCTAGTGATCATCATTCTATCCTGTCATTTTAAAAGTCAAAAATTAGGTTGCTAAATTATAAAACTTTAATTTATTACGTGGACTAAGATTTTTCTGTATGTTAGTAAAATAAGACTATAATCTCTACCCGAATTATTGATCTAAGTTAACGATTAGGTTTGTATGTGAGTGATTGTAAATGAATTTACTGAGCTTTTGTTAGTGTTGGATTTTTTATTTGTTATTTTGAAGGGTGTATGTACAAATATTTGACCACTTATTTCAGTGGCTAGCCAAATATCTATCCACCATACAATTTAATTTCCTATATCTTGAAGAGAAAATCATATTCGCATATAATGTTAAACAATTTCGCTAAATATTCTACAAATAAAATTTAAAAATCAGACATTTACTTTATCTGACTGTTGTTTTGAAATGAAGTATAGTGTTTGCAAAGTCATTACCATTATTACGCTACAAAACAGCTAGATATGCATCGATGATCAGTTAAGGCTAATTTTATTGAGATGCATAAATTGAAAGGTTTAGACGCCAGTCCTCAGGATTCATCTAGTTTTAGAAAAACCGATCAAATTTAAGCTGTTTCATCATCATTTCAAATACTCAATACATAATAAATAATTCATTTACAAATTTAGCCATAAAAAAAACATAAAATATAACTCACTTGAAATACTCTTTCTACATGATTAGCTGTGGTCGACTCATTAATTGGCGGTTCTGTATTTCTTCCCAATAAATCATAAATTGCATTGACAACTTTAAGCATTTCACCCTTAGTCACATAACCATCACCATTAATGTCATACAGCCGAAATGCCCAACGTAATTTGTCATTTTGTGTACCATGCATTAAACACGATAAACATTGAATATATTGCTAAACAAACAAGTATATCAGAAGGAGTTTTGTAGATATTATCGCAATTTGAATAGTTTAGATCACGAGTCAACTGAAACTAGACCACTATGAAAAACCTGGAAGCACTGAACGGCAATTTCTTCCCATTGTAGGACTCCTCTGTAGTGCATATCCACGATCCTGTCCTGCGAGATTCGAACTAGGGATCCATAAGATTGGCTTCAAGAGGGATATACTGGAGTTCTAGTGAAAAGCAGTGACCAGTGGAGTTCAACCAGATCTGTTCTGAGGTACACTCGTAGATGTGTCGCTCAATTTCATGGATTGGTTGAAGTTAGACATTAACACCGTTGGATACCGGCTCAATGGTCTAATATTTAAGCGCATGCGCGCGAGACTGATAGGTCCTCGGTTCAAATCTCGCGAGTTGGGATCATGGATGCGCACTGCTGAGGAGTCCCACAATAGAATGAAATGGCCGTCTAGTACTTCCAGGTTTTCCATGACGGTCTAGCATCAAATGACTCATGACCTCAACTACTGAAACAAGTACACATTGAAAAGTGATCAATATGATTGATAATAAAGATTAAGTAAATTCCTGGTAAATAATCCTTAGTTACAATTTTTTTTTCTTTTTAGTATAGGTTGCATAAAATACAGAACTCTAATTCTGCTATTTGCGATGAGAGTACAGAATTATTGTAATGATAATACCTATTCATTTCGATTGGATCAAAATTTAGTTATTGTATTATTATAACTAATAAGAAAATCACACATTTTATTTCGTGCTATAAAGGTGGCTTGGAAATCGATTTATTAAGAGCAGTCACCAACTGACACGTTCTTCAAATTTTAGAGTAAATAATGTCAATTTTCATTTAATATAACTAATCCCAAGTTAAATTATGCGTGTAGTTTCAAATCCATATATAGTCCATTCAAAATATGAAGAGAGAACACACTTACAATTGAACAATTCGTCTCACAATTTATGAAATATCAAAAATAATTTGAAAATTAAAGTTTAATGAATGTTATTATTCAATCAATGATGCATTTTATAACACAACGAAGAAATTAGCAGGGAAATTTAATAAACCAAAGTGACCAGTTAAAAATAAGGAAGACAAATCAATCACTGAGATTCAGGAACAGAGGAACGTCTGAACAGGACAATTTGAAACACTCTTGGATAGACAAGACTCGCTAAACCAACCAGTCATCAAAGAAGTACACTCAGATCTTCCTGTGGATGTCACCTCACCAATGACCGAAGAAATCAGATTGGCCATCAGACAAATCAAGAGTGGGAAAGCAAAAGTTTGATCAGACAACATACCAGCTAAAGCACTGAATTCAGACATAGAATTAACTGCAAAAATGCTCCACATTCTATTCAGAACGTATTGGGAGGAAGATCAAGAGCCATAGACAGACTGGATAGAAGGATATCTCATCAAGATACCAAAAACAGGAAATCCTGATTAGTGTGAGAGCTACAGAGACAGCAGAGTATTGTTGGACCGAATGGAAGATTCGGTAGACGCCCAGCTTCCAGATCAAAAGGTTGGATTCCGTAAGGATCGATTGTGCACAGACCAAATCGTGACACTACGTTACTATACATCAACTTCCATTATTATTAGAAGGCACTCGACAGCGTGGATAAAGAACATAATGGAACCTTCTTCGACACTATGGTGTACCTGAGAAAGTTGTCAACATCGTACAAAATTCATAGGATGGACTACGCTGCTAAGTTGTTCATGAAGGATAGCTGATAGATGCATTACAAGTGAGGGTCAGTGTTAGACAACATCGCCTACTCTCTCCCTTCCACTTTCTTTTGGTGGTTGACTGGGTTATGAAGACCTTCATATCTGACAGGAAGCATGGAATACAATGAACAGGATGGATACAACTAGACGATTTGGATTTGGCAGATCACTTAGCTCTTCTATCCCATACACAAAAACAAATGTAGGTCGAGACAAACAGTGCCACAGCAGCCTCTACATCAGTAAGCCTCAACATACACAAGAGAAAATGCAAGATCCTGAAATACAACACAAAGAACACCAACTCAATCACACTTGATGGAGAAACAGTGGAGGAGGTGGACACTTTCACGTACCTGATCAGCACCGTAGATAAACTGAGACAATTCGATGCCGACGTGAAGGCAAGGATCGGCAAAGTAGGGACCTCATTCCTACATTTGAAGAACATATAGAACTCAAAACAACTCAACCAATATGAGGAACAGAATCTTCAGTACGAACGTCAAGACGGTTGTACTGTGCGGAGCTGGAAGTTGGAGAACTACCACAACCATCACCGAAGAAGTACAAGTATTTATAAACAATTTTCTACGTAAGATACTGAATATCCGTTGACCAGATACTATCAGCAACAACCTACTTTGTGAGAGAACATACCAGCTTCCTGTTTAAGAGGAAATTGGGGAAAGATGGTGGAGATGGGTAAGATATACATTTGGAAAATCGTCAGACTACATCATGAAGCAAGCGCTAACTTGGAATCCTGAAGGGAAGTGGAAAAGATGAAGATTAAGAAAGACGTTACGTGGATAATTGGAAGCAGACATGAAAATGATGAATAAGCACTGGAAAGAATTGTCGAGAACAGATTTGGATGGGGAATGCTGGTGAACTGTCTATGCTACTCCACGAGAGGTAACAGGCGTAAATAATTGAGTAAGATACATTTGAGTTAAAAACGTAACTAGTTAAATGAGCATTTAGTCTACCTTGGCTTCTGATATTTAAAGCGTAACAGTTTAGTGATCATTCTTCTTTACAGTGAAATTGTTGTGAGGTGTTACTCTACTTTATGTCAATAATAAATCAAATAACGCAGTTTACGAGGGATTGATGGCAATGAATTTCCAATAAGTTTATACTTAACAGTTCCATTTCTTCGTCTGGATTAATCTATAGCTTTTCCGTGTTTTCCCATTTATATTTTTATGGCTACGGAGGTTTTGAAATTTAATTACGTAATCCATTTAGTTGTTACCAACGGCTCATAAATTATCTTGTATAACTTAATCATTTTCATTTTTGGAAACCAATATTATACAATTTTAGAAAGAAGCATCATGAAGGTTTAACTAAAATCAATATTTGTTCACTTATATGTCTTTCTAACTTGAACAATTGGAATTTTCAAAGTTTCTAAAATTGATTGTTTTGTAATGTAAAGAAATATTTGAGGGTCAGAAATAGTCGCTGATGTAATTGTACCAAATAATGAACGGAAGCTATAAAGTTTTTAATGACACTATCGGAGCTCCTTACTACTTATGTTAATAAGTTTAAGGATGTTCAGATTATGGGTAACAGTTGGATTTGTGACTCGTCAGGTAATGTACTCAGAATGCCTAAATATCATCAGCTACTGAGAGATAGAAATCCTGGATGTTAGTTAACAAAGAAATATTACAAACCCATGCTACAATTAATAATTTTAATCTTGGGATTAAACAATGAATTTACTAGCTATTTATGAATCGTTAATAATTAATTCACAAATTGTTTTATTGAATTTAACTTACTTCAAATGTTAAAGTCCCATTACGATCTTGATCAAATGACCTGAATACTAACTGAGCGTATACAGTTGCATCTAAAATTTTAAAAAAGAAACTATTATTTAATTAAAACAAAATGTAACCTGAAATATTCAGTGAAATATAAATGTATAATATTACCGTTTGAACAAACAGTTATGTTCCAATTTTCTGTCTACACAAATTATTGAAGAATATCGGTAACTGTTAACTTAGAATATAATTGTTATCTTCGATTTATTGTGAGAATAATTGATGTAAACATGTAAGTAGTATTTGTTTGTTTTTAATAAGAGAATAAAAACTCAAATACCAAAGTGAGTAAACGATTAAGTGTAATCTTTCGATAATGGTCTTGTGAATTATGTCATTTCTTTAGTGCTGTCATTTTTAAAATCAATTAAAACTTTATTGGAAGTAACCTCTCTAAAATGAGCAAGTCTGAATATTAAAAGACACTAATTTTGATCAAATAACTGATTGAAACGGAATAAAAAAAATTTAATACAACTTTATTCTACTCAATATAAATTGTATTTTTAGTGATAAACGTTATGACATAGCTTTATAAGTATTAAAATGTGAATCATAGTGACAGGGTCAACCCTTGACTACCTTTCTCATCAGTAGTAATGAAATACTGAATAGGTATCAATCGACTTTTTTTTAATAAATATTGTATCTTGAGAGGATTTTGTTTGTAATGTATTTATTTGCTGTGGATCAATACAATTACTTTATGTCAGATTCGTTTACCAGGTAATCCTTAACAGTACAATTTGTTATTAGATAACGGCACTGATTATCCACCAATGAAATAATAGTTAGATGATTAGTTCAGTTCACACTACTAACTTTAACTGCAGTTATTAATTATATATAACTTGCTAGAACTCATTGGTTTTATGAGTAATTAGAAAATTTGAACAGATCCAAAATAAACTGAATTTCGTCATCAATTGACATTTTGAGATAAAGATTATAATTCTCTTCAAAGACCATTTCATATCAATTGTAATAACTGTACAAGCATTTCTAACAATAATTCTTCAATACATTCATACCATTATTACTTGAGTATACACAAAAATGCACTCAAAATAGTTCAATAGTTCTTAAAACAGAACCTGAATTGCAGGTCATGCGTATTCTGCAAAGCTGGTACTAATCGTTTTCTGAAAATGTGCATTCGATATCACTTTCTTAAGCTGTACAATCGAATTCATAGATAATTTCTCGTGTGATAAACAATGAAATTAAGGTTAGCAAGTCTTGTATTTTGGCGGAAAACTCGTTCATCATTATAGTTACATAGCATTTTGGCATTGTAGCTGATGTCAGTTTGTGGTGAGAACGCTTACTCTAGTTCCCAACCGTAACTTTAAACTCTAAACAGTAATATCTTAATTCTTCATACTAATTTTCGACCTTCATTTAACCCTAGTAAGTAGTTGAGTTGTCTCGCAGTCACTTCATTGTCCCTTAAAGGCCGTCCGTAAATCATAGCCTCATCAGCTTGGATTAACTATACGGTATTGTGAACAAATATCACTCAGAGACTTCATGTCATTTCATAGATTTATCAATCAGCGTGCTTTTTCTATTTTAACAATCGAAAATTTGTTCATAAAATCATGAAACTCCAACTCTCATTACATAGTTTTTCACGGTTAAAAAAGGGTCTTTTTCGATTCATTCTTACGTATAAAATCACAGAATTTACTGTAAATTAATGATCGGCATTTATAACTGTTTAACCCCATACTACTCAGATTGTTTATGTCATGTGTTAACCAGTAGGGAGTAATCAGCAGGAGATATTTAGCCGGTAGTTTTCTCCTATTGATAATCATCATTTGAACAAAATAATATAAATTAAGTTTTGTTTCACAATCAAGATAATGTTGTTTGATATTGTATTTAGACAAATAACGTTTCGGATGGTTAAGCCATCACTAATTTTACCAAAGACTAGATCAAGTAAGGGTACTGATCAGTATATTTTAATTAATGATTTTTAAACTGAAGATATCAACTAGTGGATGGTTTAGTTGAGAATATGCTTATGATAGTAAGGGCAGTTTTGACTGATTCAAACTAAAACACTACGTTTTGATTTTTGATTGGTCTTGGTGATAAACAATCGATAGCCACCTTGCCTACACGTAGGTCCGTATATGTTTAAATTAGTGAAACCTTTGACTGATTCTATTTGGCAGATGGGCTATGTTCTTTTAGTTCATAATAATTTGACAAGTTATTTTATAAATATTCTTATGATTGTATTGATGACCACGTGTAGCTGAATACATGTGATAGCCTACATACAGATTTCTCATCTGCTTGAGGACTATAGTTCTAACAGTTACTCGATAGATTGTCAGATGAAGTATAATCATAAAGATATCCTCAACAAATATAAAACTTCAGCGTTAAACTTCTCATCCCTAATCTTCATCCTAGATACGTATATTTTAATTTTTGACACTTTTGTTTACCCAGTAACAATGAGTCTATTTTCTTAGAAATTAATATTATCTTTAAGTATAACTATTAGTTAACCATAAATTTACTTCTAATAGTTTGTCGATCAAATGAAACCGTTTACGTTTATATTACAGATTATATCTCAACAAGCTGAGTAATCGTTAATTGGTGAAAGAAACAATGAATATAATATGCAGAATCTTGATAAGACGATGATTGAGAAATGTAAATGAAGTGAAGCAAAAACTGAATATTCTGAATTGAATTATAAAAGTATACTGATATTCTTAATTGATTTCATTTAATATCTTTTCAGTATGTATTTACTTGAGTGAACGTAATATTCAAAACTATAAGTTGATATCTATTAATATACTCCCTTCATTTCATTCATTCTTATTCGTATATTTAATCTATTTTATAGAAATCTCTATTATTCATAAGATACAGGATAAACACAAATTATGTTTTACTACAGTTTACAGTAAAAAGCTTTTAAACATGTCATGGTACACGTTTATTGTATAACGTTGCAACAATATAATAGTTTTTGGAAGTCTGATCAGCCCTAATGGGTTGGTGTCTGACGAACTCTCAGCACGGATTCGAAACGCTCGTTTGGCATTTGCCAACGTACGTTACCTATGGAGAAGGCGAGATATTCGTCTATCAATAAAAAGACAAGTATACTGCGCGGCAGTCCTTCCTGTTTTAACTTACGGCAGCAAACCATGTCCATTAAGAGTAGAAGACACTCGTAAGCTACTAGTATTTGACCACAGATGCCTCAGAAATATTACTTGCATCTACCGGGATCATCGGGTAACTAATAGTGAGGTTCGACGCAGGGTATTAGAGAATGATTGTAAATCAGTTGATTAGGTTGTGAATGTTCATCGACTGAGATGATTGGGCCATGTGTTACGTATGACTGAACACCGATTACCACGATGCGCAATGCTAACCGGTGTTTGAGATGGTTGGAAGAAAGTTAGAGGTAGCCAAACCAAAGCGTGCCATCAGTCCTTGAAGTCACTAACTTCTAGTCTGAGCCATGTTGGTAAATGCAGACTACTTGGTTTGGGTCCGCATGACTATCGTAATCAATGGTTGGAGACTCTGAGTGACATGGCTCAGAATCGATCACAATAGTGTAGGTGTATACACTCTTTGTCTTCCTTTAAACTATGAGATTGAAATCGATTCATACATTTCTTTCTACGAACTAATTCTTTCCTCCTGTACTATATCCTTATATACAACTTTCTTTTATATAATACCATCATTGAATTAGCTAATTTATGAATTCAGCATTTATCTTGTTGTGCTAATGAGGTATGTCAACTTGGACCGATGCATATATGTGCCTGGTCCCATGTTGTAGCTGACTGACTGACTGAATATAATAGTTTGAATATCTTGTTAGCTGTTTGAATGAAATCCATATTTATATCATCTTATATGAATGATAAAATGTATTTAACTATCAAATCATTCTAGATGAAAAGATAATTTAATAGAAAAGTTATCTTTGATTTCATCATTTTATTAAACCTTACTGTTTCATCAGATGTATTGCTTTATTTGTTTAACTAACAACTTATCAGCTTTGTAAGTATGAGCTTAAATCATCAGATCTGAATGTTAATTGTATATATCAATGAAAACTTAACTGTAATATTAGAAATAAGAACTGATAACTATAGGACATTCATTATAATATATTAGAATTATGTACACCAAATGAGATTTATATAATATTTAGTTAGAATCATAGTGTTTTATATTGGTATTTTAAAAAATCATGTATTAAGGTTGTCGCAGTTTACCGATAAAATTGTAGCAGTAACTAAGTAATAGTACTGTAGTGGATGAGAACAGAGTTGTGGTCAGACAATTTCTTATTTAATATATAGTTACAGAGAGTTCTTTTATAAATTGTGAAAACTATACATTAAATACTTTGTTTGCAAATCCTCCATCAATTATCTCAAACTTCATCGTTCCTGCATTGCTATAACAATTACTTTCTGTTCTCGTTCTCTTCGATTCGATCTTCTCAACCCTATGATACCAGGCATCCAACTTCTGATTGGCGTTATATACTACTTATAATAGTATAGTATTTATAGTAATACTTATGATAGTATACTACTTATGACTGTCGACATGGGTAGCATACCACATAATACTATTTATTTACGTTTTGAACTATTCTTATATACAATGAAATGAAAAATGACTTTAAAAGTTTAAATGCATTACATTGAATAACTTTTTGTAATGGTTTAAATCTTCTCATTGATAGTATGAGCTGAAATTAATCAGTCTTATTTTGGAATATCCTGGATATCACAGTTAGCTACTGTCTAACTTTATTTTAAAGTATTAACTTGGTTGTTTAGTCTCCTCCCTTGTCCTCATCACTATTAGCTATCTTACAGTAGTTCAATATGCTGAATAAAACTACTATACGGTTATACTTACATGATATCCTGGTTGTTTTGGGAAATATTTAATTAAAAAAGATAGTTTAGCACACATCTTGTTAAACAGATCGTCTATGAAT